CGGACTTTTTCTGACTATTTCTGGGAGATAAGGAACGCGCATATTGTCGTTTAAGCAACCATCATCACCAAGCTTCAAAGGGCAGAGAATGAACTTATAAGTTAAGCTAAAGAAATATTTTCATAATAATATTTTGGCGCTTACACTCTTGCTAAATGTTTGGCTGAGCTTTTTCTCCGGCTTCTGCAGTTCGTCTTGATGTTGATACACAAATGGAGGGCCTACAGCTTTACGTCGGCTCCGAACAGCAAATGGATTTTATGAGACAAAACTTTTTCTAATTTAGATGTTGCCAGGACTAGGGTTCGAACCACGGCTATCCTAAATGCAAATTAATTATTCCACGGAAATTCCAGTAGGCTTGATAACTCGCAACTGTAAAGGAACGTGTTAAGTTAGCTGCTAAAAAGGGATTAGAACATACATATGTTTTGGACTTAATCCATTTTTGCTGAACATAGAGCTTTGATCTACAAAAATAATAAAACCCTGTCTATTTTTGAATTTGGGTGCTTTCCGAAGGTTCAGTTGCAATATGTGTACATACAAGCATATAACTTGTTTCCTGAAAAAAAAAAAACGTCTGGGACAAGGCGTATTCATATAAGGTGGTATCGATTCAACAAATACAACAATTACTTGTATTTTGTTTTTGTTTTTAGCGGGTCATTGTCAGATTTCAGCAATTCTGGCCCGAATGAAAAAGGGCGACAGAAAATGCAAACACTCTCACGTTTTCACTCACTCACTAGCAAAATATAAAATTTTGACAATCAAACGCTACTCACAGCTGATTAAAAAACACCACCTTATATAAATTCGCCTTGGACTGGGAATTAAATTATTTTTTTTTTTGAATTATGACATGAAAATTTGAGACTCCACAGTATTTTTTTGGGAAAGGTTTCGATGATTTTCCAGAGCAGGGTTTTTTTTTAATGCTCATATTGGTAAAAACGCTTTTATTATAGATTTAGATTTAGATTTTACGTACATACGTCTCTAAATTTGCTTGTTTACCTATGTCGTACATACAAACATACAGATCTGTATTCCCATGGAATAGTAGCTTATGTCGGAAGGCTGGCTTTAGAACTACATATTAGTTACGGTGACCATCCGTCCTGGTAATTTATTTATTTCATACGGTACGCGCCAAATGTTCTGTATTTCTTTTAACTCCCTGCTTAGGAGTGTTTGTAAAAAATTGGGTTCGGGTTGAAAATCCCGTGCGAAAAGTACAAAGTTATTGAAAAGTATTCTGCAGATGTGAAATGTTACAACTGAATATTTATGTGCTGCTTTCACAAAAGATCGAAAAATGTATGCCAAATAAAGATGCTGTTTTAAAACTAATAAATCTAGAGTCATTTAAAAAAGATTTAAAATCCTCTAGCTTTTGTGGAAAAAATAGGCAAAATTATTTTTTGTCCTGTATTCGGCTGCCATATACACTGAGGCAAATAATGCATAGTAAAAATGAATACTTTACATTTGATTATCGTTTAAAGATTCGTTCGTATTTAAAAATAATATTTTCATACAAAATTTATTACGCTCGTATTTAACTATTCACATCTGAGTAAGTATATGAGTGTACATACGCACCCCAAGCATGCAGAACGCCGCTCTGAGAGCGGTGACAACACACACATTCATACATACATGTTTATAAATGTTTATTCGTACAAATCGCATGCTGTGGTGTTGATGGATATTCAACATTTGAAAGCAAATTTATATGCCTGGGTGTAGCTGAGTGCGCAAAGGTGCATGCCACAATTGTTGATATCCAGGGAAGATGGTCAGGGTTCGAATTCCACTGCAGGCAACATGCAAATTTATTTTTTTTTTTTTAGTTTTTGTCTGATTATTCACTTCACGGATGCTTTTTTTCAGTACGAACGCGGTCATTTTAATATGCGAGTAATTGAATTGAATATTTACCAATATACAGTACTTTCGTTGACGTTTATAGTAAGATCAATTACGTTTCCATTTGATTTTAATATTTTTTTCCCTCAGTGTATATGGTCACCACAAAAAATTTGTTGATGATGACTTAATAAGAATATTGACTTGCTAGTATCGGAACTATTTCTTTCGCGTTTATTTGCTAAGAGTTCGTCAACAGCTCAGCGCTAGTGAGTCATTCGCAATCGTATGCTGCGAATAGTTTATTATATTAAAGTCAGCTTTCCGACTTAAGCTACTAACTATTCCATGCGAACACAGATATGTACATACATACATACATGCATTCTCTATTTTTTTTTTTTGCAGAATTAAACACACAATCCCTTAGTAATTATTTCAAAAAGTAGTAGAAAATGATTGAAATCAGTAGACGAACTTTGGCGCTGAGTATGGCGCTAATAGCTACTATACAGATGACATTATGGACACCAATAAACAGTTTACCTCAAGGTGCACCGGAAACGGTGTGCGACACAATGTTGCCGTTCCACGGTGGTGGCATTCCGCCTTCGAGTTCGTTGCCGCCGTTCCGAATAGAAACGTCGTCGTTGGTAATTGGCCAAGGGCAAACAATGCGTGTGGACATTACCGGCGTTCCACCTGGCTTGAGTTTCGGGGGATTCATGGTGCAGGCACGCAACCGAAACTCGCCCCATCAAATTGTAAGTCATTTTGAAAAATGTCTTGAATACATATATACATATTTACATATGTACGTACAAATGTATGTAAACATAAACATGTAATCCATCCAATAGCAAAAGAAGTACAATTTGTGAATAAATATAGTTGTGTAAAATGTTTTTAGTTACATACATACATATGTACATATTTGCGTATTTTAACTAATTGCTATTAACTATAACTACAAGCTATATACATGCATACATACACACATATTTACTATTTATTTATGTGCATAATTACACAAGCTTACCCGGCCAGCATTTGGACGATTGTTTGGCGATTTGCGAGCCGCGTAGAAAAAAAAGTGTTTGTGGACAATTCTTGGCCACGATGAAAAAACGAACCTGACTCTTTCCAGCGATTGCAACAAAACATTATGCTTTTAAATAACTGTTGGCGTACAAAAACAGAAACTATGTAAGCGTAATTTTTTAAGAACGTGACAGCCGTAGAGAATTTTTTTCGCGATAAAATGTTATTTCGAGTCGCTTGTACTTAATTGAAAATGCTGGCTTGACATCTAGGCTTGTACTATATGTATGCTAACACCATTTAATTTTTTTGTGAAGTATGCATGCACATTAGACGGCATCACCAAAAAAAGTTGCGGTATTTCAAGGCGTCCACCAATATATTTGGGAAAAATATTAAGATTTAAGCGAGTTGGACCGATTTGAAAATACCTCCCGAAATGGAGTTTTTTATGACTAAAAATAGTTTCTTAAAGAACTTTTTGAAAAAAGTCAACTCAGGTGACAAATGGAGATTAGGCTTAAAAGATCTGAATAAAAATGTTTAAACATCTTTTCAACGGAATCGTAATAATGAGATTTTTGATGCTGTTTTTTTTTTCATTTTTCAAAGATTGATTTACGAAAAACTTAAATGGGATCTCAGTTGAAAGGTATTTTCCTACTATTCCTATATATATATATTTTTTTTTTTTTCAAATACCAACACATTTTAATTCAACTTTGAATGATGTTCGTTCATCCTACATTTCTCTTTCATCCTTTGAATGAGTTTATTTAGCAAAGAAATAAAAAGGATGAGAAAAAACCTTTCCAATGATACCTCACAAGAATAAATCGG